CTTTCTTTCAAAAGCACCGAGGGTTGTAGCCTTGTAGGGTAGTGCAGTTTTGTTGGTAACTCGCAATTGCAGACGCTTAGCTCAACGATTCAGGTATGGTTTCTCCTTTTTTTAGTGAACGTGCAAGTTGCTTTCGTTTGGTTTAATTGTCTTGATTAATAATCATAGGCAACCTAATTTACTTTGTTACATATTTGTATAAGTTCTGCTCTAAGCTTTTTTTTAAACTACTTTTCTCTATAATACATGGTTATTACTTTGATTTTTAAATATTTGACTTGAAATATATTATGTATCTTTCTAGGTTACAAGAGATGAGTGCAAATTATGAAGTGCCATGTATAGGCATGAAGTTTGATTGTGATGATAGTGCTTATGAATTTTATAAAGCATATGCACACGGTATTGATTTCAGCGTGAAAAAGAACTTCATCAAGCGTACAAAGTCTGGACAGGTGAAACATAGAACATTTAGTTGTTCTAAGCAAGGCAAAAAAGCTATTGATAAAAGGTCTGAGAAGGTAGCCTATGAAAGGCCAATAACAAGAGTGGGTTGTTTAGCAGAGATGACATGTCAGCTGAAAAATGATGGAATGCTTGAGATTGTTAAATTTGATGCAAACCATAATCATGAGCTTACCCCCACTCCGATGAAACATATGTTGAGGTCCAACAGAAAGCTTAGTTATGCTCAGAAAGTTATTGCAGATGATGCTGCAAAAGTTGGGTTGCTAATCAAAGGGACTATTGATCTACTAGCAATCCAGAATGGAGGTCGTCAACATAATGGGTTCTTGGATACAGACTATAGAAATCATATTGCTTCATGAAGACGATCTACAATGATTAAAGGAGATGGTCGGGTCATTATGGATTGCTTTCGAAAAACACAGTAAGAAAATCCATCATTCTTTTATTCAGTGCAACTTGATGATGATGATCTTCTTATGAATATATTTTGGGCAGATGGCAGGTCAATAGTCGATTATAAGCACTTTGGAGATGTGGTGTGTTTTGACACAACCTATAGAACTAATAAGTATGGTCGGCCTTTTGCTCCATTTGTTGGGGTTAATCACTTGAAAGAGACGATAATTTTTGGGGCGGCATTGCTTTATGATGAAACAATCACATCGTTCAACTGGTTATTTGGAGCTTTTTTTAGTGCAATGGGAGGAATGCAACCCAAGACCATATTAACTGATCAATCAGCCGCTAAGGCAAGAGCAATTGAAGAGGTATTCACTGAAACTCATCATCGTTTATGTGTTTGGCATATTTATCAAAATGCTGCTACACATTTAAGTCGTGTGTTTCATTCATCCAAGCAATTTGCTAGTGATTTTGGTGCCTGTGTATTTGATTACGAAGATGAGGATGAATGGCATCAAGCTTGGGATACTATGCTTGCTAAATATTCTTTGGAAGATAATGAATGGTTGCATGGAATATTCTTAGAAAGAAGGAAGTGGGCTATGGTGTATGGGCGTCATATGTTTACTGTTGATATGAAGAGTACACAGCGTAGTGAATCAATAAATAATGTGTTGAAAAAGTACTTGAAGCCAAAACATAATATGGTATACTTTTTCGACCATTATAACCGATTGGTGGAAGATAGAAGGTACAAAGAGCTTTTGAGAGAGTTCAAACTGAGGAATACTAGCCCAGTGCTAAAAGCAGATGTTGTGATGTTAAAACAGGCTTCTGATATTTATACTCCTCCAGTGTTTAAAATGTTTGAAGAAGAATATCTCAGAGCGTGGGATTGCACAATTGATAAGATCAGCAAAACTGAAAGTCATACAGAATATAAAGTGCAATATGATGGTAGTAGAGGTACAGAGCACTATGTTCGATTTGAGCCTTCTCGTCAAAGAGTTGAATGCAGTTGCAGGAAGTTTGACTTTGTGGGGATTTTGTGTGCTCATGCTTTAAAAGTTCTTGACAAGAAAAATATAAAGCAAATTCCTCAAGACTATATATTAAAGAGATGGACAAAGGATGCAAAAGATGGAGATATCAGAAGTGCAATTCAAGTTTGTGGAAGTGCAAAAGAACAGATCGGGAAGCGGTATTTCAATTTGAATTATAATTTTTGTGACATATCTACATTAGCAGCTGAGGATAACACTATGTATGAGCATGCATGCGGAGTTTTTTCAACATTGCTTAAGGACCTGCAGTTAATGAAAAGATCTTCACATGACGGAACCAACAATGATGTGTCGGGCTCGGATCATGAGCAAGACTATCCAATTGTAGCTGGAGTTAAGACAAAGGCAACTGTTGGACGACCGAAAAAGAGATTTAAAGGTCCATTAGAGCGACGCAAAAGTAAAAAAGTGCAATCAAAGTCACAGGTTCTCCTTTCCCTCTTCTTTTTATTTATTTAGATAAGCTTCTTATGCCGTTCAATTATAGTAACGAACGAATGAAAAAAAAATTATATGCAGCTTAAGAAGATGGCGACAAATATTGCGCAACATGAAAGTGATGTTGAGTTTCAAGTTCGAAGTAATCAGGTATTTATTTATCCTTAATATATTTTAATAGAAAGAAAAAAATAATATGTTTCATATGCGTACATATCTAATCATAAACTACATATATGTGTATGTTTTTAGGGACAGTTGGGCAATTTGACACTCAAAGTTTAACTGTTGATACAACAAGACATAATCATGAAGATATTTTTGACTGCACAGTTCCTTCAAATAACATTTCATACACCCAATTGTTACAGGTATGTCGTTGAAATTATTGTTTCTTTGGATATTCTTCATATCTTTATTTAATGCTATTGTTAAATTTTACCAATGCAGGAGGCAATTGCAAATTTGCATTCTCATGCACCAAAATAGGGATCACGTATTTTTGAACAATTTCAATTGATTTTATTTGTTTTGGAATTTGGAATTTTTTTGGAATGGATTAGGCTTAACATACTTTGAGATTTATTTGTTTGAACAATTCGAGATGTTACATGTTTTGGGAGATTGATTGCATTTATTGTTGATTGTGTTTGATTACATGTTCCATTTGATAAAATGATTCTTAAATTCGCATTATTATAGTCATAGGAGTAGCAATCAATTAAGTTCATTAGACTAGTATTGTGAAAACTATTTATTTGTTGCAATAAAAACAACTAATTTCTACTTCCTTGAATTACACGAGAGAGAAAGAAGGAGGGAAGGTGGTAAAATTATATAATAATAAGAATCCATGATAAATGCTCCCGTTAGTTTTACTGTATCTCCGTTAGGCTATTTATTGTTAAATTTAAAAGGAAAAAAAAAGTAAACTCAACCAATGGGATGGACACACGTGGGGAGGTTGCAGGCTCCCCCTACAGCCTGGTATGCAGGCAAATATCGTCCATTTAGGATGTATATTACTTTATCCAATTAGCTTTTCATTTAAGGTTTAAAAGTTAATGAAAATGAAAGTAATTAAGAGGGTAGAACAAGGAAACGAAGAAGAAAAAATGAATTATTCATATATTTTTTACATTCTTTTTATTAGTAAAATTTATTAAATTATTAATAATTAGTCAAATTTTTGTAATATATTAAAATATTAGCACCTTTAATAATTTTGTAACTGTTTTATTTCTTAGTTAAAATACTCAAGTTTTGAATGTTGACCTTCATGTGTCTCTTCCAAGTCAGTATTATGTTGTCAAACCAATATTACTAATAAAATTGCTAACCGGAAGTTAATATTTGACTAATTACTAGTAATTCAATAGGTTTAACTAATTAAAAAGTATGCGTGAAACGTTTGACTAATAATTAATACCGATCCTTGTTATTACAATCTCATAAACCTTCTAGGTTTTCCACAATCTATCTCCATCACCATCTATCCTTGATATACATGTATGATTATTTCAAAAGTTTGTTGGAGAAGTGCTCTCATAAGTAAGGTCTTAATCAAAGAAATTAGGAAACCTGGAGACACAGAAGAACCTCGATCCAATCTTGCAAAGTGTTGGTGAACGAGCGACAAAGATCAAATGCTGAAGCTTAGTAGACTTTATCAACCGAATATGTCCATGATACTGAACTGATTTAACTTTCATACTATATTTTTTAATGCTATTTTACTCTACTCTTACATTGGTACAGTATCTATATTTTTCATCTAGACCATGGAAATGGCATGATCCTGTAACTGAAATTTTAAATAATATAATAGATTGATTATCCTCTTTAATCAGTAAAATAGATAATTTTTCCAATGAATTGGAAGAACTATCTCTAAGGTAGAGTGAATTCGTAGAGTTGATTCTTTAAGAGTAAATCCACATAGAGATTTGAGATTCCCTACTAGTTCTCAGATCACTTTTAAGTTTAAGAGGTTGAATAATATACTACTAGAGAATAAAATTAGCTTATTTCATAACAAGATAGTTGAATAGTTCCTGGTAAGAAGCAGACTCACCATAGTTGAAATCATAGGTTGGTTGAAGTAAAAATATTTCAGAAGGGATTGTTTTCTTTAGTACTAAAAGTATTTGGTAAAAGTGGGAACTGAAGAAAGGAATGATTTTGAAATTAAAAACAAAAAGACTCCAGAATATATTCTTCGAATTTTAACTGGGTATTTTCAGTGACATATGGTGCTCTAGTTCAATTTAGGTGGAGACCATACCAAGATCCAGGTAGGCCTTTCAGTCCCTTTCATTTGGGCTCAAACTCGACATTGCCTGACAGTTGAGCCCAATTATTTGCACCCTGCACACAAGTTAAAGCCCACAGTATCAAACTTCATCGGCTCGCTAACTTTATTTCTGGGCTGTTTGCTAGCGAGTGGCACACCACTAGCCACGTGGATACCTAATCTACCGTCGAGTAACAATATCCGGGTCCCACAATATATTGATCCAACGATTAACCTTCTCTTCTCTTCTGACTCTTCACTCTTTTCCCGCTGCCACTCAACCGCACCACCATCCATTTCCCACCAAACGGATAACAATAAAAACCCAATCCATGGCCGCCGCCGTTCCTCTCCTCACGCCGCCGATCTTATCCAGATCCACCACCGCTTCCGCTTCTCCCTCGCCCAAATTTCCCTTCCCAGTCGTCCCCTCCAGAACCCCATCCCGCCCAATTTTCACAACCACGAGGCTCAACGTCTCGTCTCCGGCGAACAAGCCGCCTGTCAGCACTTCGTCCAAGCCCACCGCCCAGAAAAAGCAGCCGACGGAGGAAGTGATATATTTCGACGGCGGCGCCCACTACGGCGACCTGGCTGCCAACCTGCTTCTGGGATTCACCCTGTTCTGGCTGCCGCTGACCCTGGCGGCGGTGTCGAGGGCGTTCAATCTCAGGTACCGGTTCACGAACCTCCGGGTGACGGTGATATCGGGCCTGACCGGTCAGGACCGGAGCGATTTCTCGTACAAGGTGATAAAGGACGTGCAGGTGGTGCCGCGGTTCATCGGCGAGTGGGGGGACGTGATTATCACGCTCAGAGACGGGACGAAGGTGGATCTGAGAAGCGTCCCCAAGTTTCGAGAAATCGCCAAGTACTGCCTTTCCATGGTGGAGCAGCCGTCGGCGGCTGAGCTGAAAGAGAGTCGGCCCAAAGGGTTTTGATATTACAATGGAAGAATATTGAAGGGGATTTCAATTTCCTGTTCTTCTTTCTTACTTCGTTTCATCTGGCTTAGTTTCGTGCCAAGGTATGTAAATGTGGTGGGGTTTTATTTTTTGTGTATGTTTGTTTGCTTCTTTCTGGAATTGGCTAATTTGATAAGAGAAATGGAGATAGGTGCCTGAGTTTGTGATTACCATTTGACTTTATCATTGGATGATGAAGCATATAGATAGTCCATTGGAGAGATGTTGTATTGTTATGGAGGAGGCTATGGAGTTGGATCTTGAGAATGGATTCTGGTTAATCAAACAAATTGTGGGCAGGATTCTAATCTTGTGGATAAATCGATATTCAAATTGTTCTGGGTGCAAGTGTTGAAGACTTATGAGAGTTCTAGCGACACTGGTGGATGGATCCGTAGCTAGTTAGGTCACTTTGATGATGAGAATTCGCCCAAGTCAGGTACAGCTTGGAAGACCAACAATCAGATAAAAATATTTTTAAAAATCGTGGACGGCAGGATTCGAACCTGCGCGGGCAAAGCCCACATGATTTCTAGTCATGCCCGATAACCACTCCGGCACGTCCACATCTTGCTTACTTTTTGTTTGTTGACATATCTATAATAAATTGTAAAGATTAAGAAGATTGGAATTTTTTTTTTTTCCAAGAAATGTCAAGAGAGAACCTATACAAACTACCAAGACCCTGCCCAACCCAAAACATCAGTGAAGCCACCCAACAAAGTCAAAGGTGCGTAACTCTAGAGGGGAGAGTAACAGGGCTTTCTGCGCCACTCTATGGGCAGCCCTGTTAGCAGTCCGGGGAACTGCCCTAAACTCTAAGGAAACAGAAACAGAGGACAGGAGAAGGAAGCAATCCCGAAGCACCGGACCTCCAAGGGAGTCTGAGAAAACACCTTGACGAAGCTGACTAATCACCGCCTCTGAATCTCCTTCTATGAAGACCCGTGGCAGAGATTTGGAGACCAAAAGGAAGATGGCGTCTCTAGCAGCTAGGAGTTCTGCGAGGTAGGGATCAGCAATACCGGGGTGAAGAGATCCTACTGTCAGAGCCACATGCCCGTCTGAACTCCGCACCACTAGACCAGACGAGCACCCGGAAGGACGAACAGCAGCAACAAAGATGAACTTCAGAAAACCATCAGGAGGAGGGGACCAGGGAGAACTGCGAGAGCTAGAGGGCTGGGGCGGAGGAGCAGGGACCAAAGGTAGGGAGGACGACAGTTCACGAACTTGGAAAAAACATTGACGAGCGAGAGACTGGGCATGAGGTTGGATATGCTCAAAGACCACCTTATTTCTAGAATTCCAGATCCTCCACAATACACAGACGTATAGGAGAATATGGGTTTTGGGGTGCTCAGAGAGCATAACATGTCGCCACCAGAGACTGAAGTTCACAGTCGGGGCCGAGGAAATGAAGTCATTTAGGCCCATAAGCGACCACAGTCTGGTGGCCAAGGGGCATTTGAAGAACAGATGTTCAATACTTTCCGGTCTTCTCCAGCAAACAGGGCAACGGACATGACAATTTACTCCTCTAGACTTGAGTGCTACTACTGTTGGTAATATCACTCTAAGGCACTGACAGATAAAGAATTTCAGCTTCGGAGGGGTTAGAATATCCCATGTTTTCTTCCAGATAGGAGGATCAATGATTTGGACCAGGGGTTTTCGGCTAGAGGCTAAAGAGAGTTCAAGAGCTAGATGGTACCCCGTTTTGACTGTATATAAACCATTTTTGTGTAATGCCAAACTCTCGTATCTCTTTGTTGGCATCTAGGGAGTGGGGTTTTACATATAAGTTTAACTGTTAAAGGATCAAAACAATATTGGAGCCTTGGGATATGCCACTCTCCTCTATTTTCCTTGATGAAAAAGGAAACTCTTGGGGAATTAGTTATATTCGAGAGCCGGACCAACGGAGTGATGGGTTTGTCGGCAATAACCCACTTATCTTTGAAGGCAACAATGTCTTGCCCATTTCCAACTTGCCATCTTAACCCTTGGAGAAGGAGATCTCTTCCAAACAGTATGCCACGCCATCCACATGAAGGGTTCGAGCCTAGATTAGCATCCAGCACTGAACCGTGCTGTAATACGAAAGCCCAGTGTCATTGATGAAATTCCGGTTGGAAATGTGACGGATAAAATAAATACTGGTATGGGTAAGAATGTAGTGTTCGCTTATGCCCTTTCTCTTCAAGAAAGCCCATTTACGATTAAAAAAAAACCCTATAATGGTTAAGTTTGCTAACTAGGAAAGATCGAACAGAGGTTGGGCAGGTATCTCGATAGTCATACTCATTCCGTTGCATGAGGAATAACAATCGGTTGAGTTAGTTATAGTTTTTTCAAATTCAAGTCCAGTTTTGTGAGTCCACTCGCTAAATGTTTTAGGTAAAATGTTCACTAGGTTTTGAAAAAGAAAACACAACTCAATAGTCACTCGTGCATAAATATCCATAATTCACAAATATAACCCCAATTATTTCTACAAACACCTCTATTTTTTTTAAGGGTGGCATAGCTTGATTTTTATAGTTAGGTGCTACTAAAAGTATTCGAATCTAAAACATCCATGTTTAAAATTAGTGGTATTATGTCTAGGCTAAACCCTTGTTTGTGCAAATACCCGTATCTTTATATTATCTTTAACTTCAACTATATTGTCATAAGAACTAGGATTCTATTATCATAAAGTCTAATGACATCCACGAACAAGGGCTTGGTCTAGTGGTAATATCACTAGTCTAGAACGTGGAGGTCAGAGGTTTGTATTCCTTAAGCAGTACCTTAATAAAAAAATAAACTTATATCACTCTTAAAAAAAAGTCTAATAACATCGATAAATTAATGATGTTATTAACGTCAGAGGCAAAATAATGTTGTTTTGCTTTATTTTGTGTGCAAGTTGAATGAAAAGTGATAGAATTTTTACCAAACTTGTACCTAATCCAATCCTTCAATTCTGAAAACATGTAAAACCCGTAAAAATAGGTAAACAATACCAGATTTTACTTAATCTGATTGGGTCAGACCAGATCGGATGCCCACAAGTCCTAGTTGAATTGACGTTGCATGATACCTACCGACTTAAGATAAGAGTTTCTGAAGTTGTCTCTTCCGCCTTCATGGTCCGTTGAAGGCAAATAAAGGGCAAGCAATATGGTTGGTGATCAGTTGTTCCTCAATAATTCGACCTAGCTAAGCTAAATTATTGATGGCAGCCAATAAAAATAAGCCAGGTGGCGTTTTCTGTTTTACAAGCAAACAGCCAAAACCCAAAACCACACGCCTTCATTCTTCCTGCTTCCCATTTGCTAGATTTTGTATCAACTCATGAATCTTACACCACGTACGAAGGGTCCCAAGATTGAAATCTGACAGAAGACACTAAGTCTAAAACTTGAGAACGAACCCTAGAAACATGCTTTGAAAAGACCCAACGTACGTACCCAATTCGCAAAAGAGAGAGCGAGCGAGAGGCAGCCTTTTGCTTTAGTTTGTTGTTTTTTTGTAATTAAGAAGGGCCATTGCAAAAGGTGGCAATCATGCATGCCCCATCCAGCGAATCACATTGTGACATTGTCACTCGATCGACATCCCTTAACCTTTGTCTCTTTTTTTCTCCGTTCGCGACTGCAGTTTGATGATTCCTATATATACATACATAGCTAGATAGTTCTTTCTCTTGTATATATCAGCCAGCCAGCTCACACTCGTCCCCATCGCACTGCACTACTGTTTCTCATTGTTCTATCCATTTCAAGGCTCCTCTGCTCTGATTTGCTTTGGTTTTTAATGATTGTTTATCAAATGTTGTAGCCCTTCACAAGGGAAGAGAGCCCTCATCACTACTCCCCACCGACCCTTTTCCTCTCCGCTCCTGAAGAATGATTGTGGGAGTTCATCAGTTTAGTACAATATCTGTTAGCTGTAGTCAGCAAGCGTTTGAATTTCCAAGTGTTATAGGTGTCTAATTAATGTTTCTAGTAGTACTAATTATATAAGAGAGTTCGTAAATAATGAAGTCCGTGAAGAATTAATACTTATGATAGTTTCATTTGTCATTTCTTCCTTTGTTTTTTTCTAAAACCCTAGTCATGAATTGTCATGTCTTGTTAAGGATGACAAATACCCATTAAAATTCTCATCACCATTTGAAAAAGTTCTCTTAGCTGATAAGCAAACTGACCCATGAGATAACGGATACATCCATATGATGTATACATCATCCTTTTTTGTAAATTTAATTATTTTCAGATTTCGGGGAAAATAATATGTAGTTGAAAATGTGACTTGTTGAGATTAAATCAATAATATAACATGTAGGGACCAATACGTGTGCACATTATCTCTTTAAAAGAACAAGTTACAAGTTTACTGTTTCTTAGAGTCACATCAAAACACTGTCACTTGGTTTGCTTTTTTGCCTCTTGTTCTCCTTTCTGATTGGCCCTTCTTCTGAGTACTGACATCCATAGGTGGCTCTCTTTTGTAATTAACCATTAACCAAGGTTTTACTGAGGACGAAAAATGCACTGATGTTTCCTTTCTTTGCCAGATTTTAGCTGAGTCTTCGTTTGTAATCATTGCTTTCCTCTCTCTGGTCTCTATGCTTTTTGCCTGGGTTGCTTCGCCAGCGACTTCTCTTCTCTCTGCAACTGATCGGTTTTCGGAACTCCTCACCTTTCCCCTGGAAATGACAGGACTGCCGCTTCCTTATCTGTTCCTTTCCCCACAAAAGTCTTGTTTTGCTTTGCTACCTTTCATTTATGGTTCTCACAGACTTTCCCTCTTCTATCTTGCTTTCTTCTATTGCTCTTCCATGGTGACCCATAAATTGCTTCTTGACCTCAGCGACTCCGATGGCCCTCAGACTCTTCTGAAGCTGCGCCTCCTTAATGCGTGGGGGTCTTATGGTCTGAAGAATCCTAAATTAATCTTCAACTACTGCACTCTTTGGAACGATGAGGAGGTTAGCGCTGCTTTTCTGTTTTTTTTTTTTTTTGCCATGCAATTTTGCGCCTCCCTTTTGTTTGCAGCCCTCTGATCTTCGTGTATTCCCTGCCCAGGGTACTTTGATTCAGGGCACAGCTCCGTCGGAACTCACGCGCCATTTTGCTCCGCTTCTGCAGTTGGGTAGCGTTTACTTTGTTAGCAATTTTCGCGTCAAGCCACCGTCCCCTTCGTATCGTTCTTGCTCTCATAAGTTGACCATCGTCCTCTCTGCCGCTACACAGTTCGAAGACGTGACCCGTTCGTCGCCTTCATTCTGGCCGGATGCGTTTGAATTTACCCCGTTCAGTTCGCTTCATTCCCGCATACGTTCATCGGTTTATCTAACAGGTCTTATTCTGTGTCCTTTACGTCTCTTGCTGTTCGTTTTATAGTGTACTGAATAACATCCTTTGCGTTCTTCTCTTGCTTGCGGCTCTGTCAGATGTCGTTGGCGCTGTTGTTAGCATCACAGGCGTTTCTAGCACCGTCACTTCATTCGGTACCACTGTGCGTAGTGATTTGGTGCTTCAGAATGAAAAGTATGTTACATATGCACACCACTTCTTTATCGACTATAATACACCTGTTACTAACTTTCGGTGTTTCGTTGCCCAGTCACATGTTTCTTGATATCAGCCTGTGGAGTGAGATAGCTCGGAATCTCAATGGTCAGGAACTGGCTGTCCTTGGTCGTTCTGGGCCAGTTATGCTAGCTGTTTCCTCACTTCGGGTCACTGGCGCTACGAAAGGTCTCCATATACCTTACCGCCGCAGGATTCTCCCTTTCATTTCCCTTCCTCTTTTCCTCATTAACTTTACCCCTTTTGTAGGAGGTTACTCTCTTACCAGTACTCCAGGCACACGTTGTGTTCTCAACCCTGTTTCTGAAATGGCTCACCTGGTCCAATCTGTGTATGCCTCTTCTTATCCTTATCATATTTTTTTTTCCCTAAGCATCGTCAGTTGTTTTTTCTTCCTGCTAATTTGTTGCGTTCCTTGCTTTTGCTTTCGCTAGGTTCTTTGCCAGCACTAATACATGTCAATATTACCCTCCGAGGTTTGCAACTCCTAATGAGGCAGCGGCTTTTGAAGCTGAATGTACGAAGACTGTAGCACAGCTCCTTGCCTTGTGTTTTCCACCTGCTGCCGATGTATGTTCCTTCCCCTTTTGCTCTCCTGCTTACCTGCTTCTGTTCCTTTCACTTCATTTGTTTGTCCGTCTAATCGTTTCTTCCGTTTCCTTTTGTGTAGTCTACGCGTTACCATTGCTCTGGTCGGATCGTCTCGGTTGATTCTTCTATGCAGTGGTATTACTTGGGTTGTGCGCTTTGTTCCAAAGCAGCCATAGATTATGATGGTGTTGACAAATGGTGTGATGACCACCGTCGATTGGTGCCTCAACAAACACAGAACTTGTAATTCCTTTCTTCATTCTTGCCCCCATACCTTTTGCCTTTTCTCGTGTCCTTACATGCTCCTGTACGTGTTTTGTGCAGTTACAAGCTCCGGGTAACAGTTGATGACAACACTGGATCAGCAGCTTTTGTTCTGCTGGGTAGGGCCGCTGACCTTCTTGTGGGCTTGACTGCTAACGATCTCTCTACCAGGTTTCCTTACCAGCGCAATGTTTTGCCACAAGAACTCCTGGCTCTTGAAGGGCGAGACTTTACTTTTGACGTCCAGCTTCCAAAACCGGAATATGGGTCTCGTGGCCCCCCAGAGTTCACGGTCCTTGCTGTCACTGAACAAGAACAACCAAATTCCTGCTCACCAGCTCTTGGTCGCCGGGCAAGAAATGCTATGTCCCATACACCACCTCCTAACAGGTATTTAAATGTCCTGACTTTTGTGGTACGCTTTCCTTTTGTTCATTACTAATCGCTGCTTTCCGTTGCAGTCCTCACAAGATGCCTCTTGCTTCTCCATATGTTGTTCCAACAATGCCGAACGCTTCGGTAGACCATGGTCCTTCTGTTGCTTCACCGAGGTTATGCTTCCATTTTACATGCCCTCTTTTCCCTGATTGTTCTTTGTCTTGAACTCGGGTTTCTTCTTAAATTTGCAGTGGGAGTTCTCAGCTTGCATTTTCTACTCCTCCACGTCGCCCCTATAGCAGGTTGTTTCTAAAATTCACTTTGCTTTACAAAATTGACAGCGCTCCTTTGGACGCTGTCGTACTCTTCCCAATGTGTTGACATTTCTTTCCCATGCGTTGTTTACCATCAATTTCCAGTAGCCGCATCGCTGCTGTACCTTCGCCCTCATCTGCTGCATTAGGAAGGTTGTCTGTTTGTTGTCTGCTTTGCTAGCTTAGTTCTGCTTATACACGTTCTTAAGTCGTTTCCTGACATGTTTCTTTTAAACATCAGTTCCGTACCTTCTTCTCCCGAACTTAGTCGTACTGAGCTTGTTTCCTATGCGCGGTCAGTTTCTTGCCTTTTCCTGTATTACCTCAATCGTTCGACTTTACGCCTGCTGATATTTGTCACTGTCTCTTGCACACCCGATTTTACTGCTTCGTAGGCCTAGAAGTGAGGAAGTGCCCCCAGAAACTGCACCACAGCGAACCCCACAGTACTTTCCCTACTGTTAACTTACTTACTAGCTTTTATTGTCTCTTCTTACCTTGCTGAGCAGCTCTGTATCAGGGAACTTGCTGCGGACACTACAGATGCTAATGTGCAGAACAAGAACATCAGTTCAAAGAAAGCGAAGCCGAAGAAACCATCTGCTAAGAAGAAGTCTCTCTGCCCTTTATTACTTGCTATGTTTCTTGTACCAAATTTACCATATCCTACATTAGGTCTTCAGTTCCTATTTACCTTGCTTCTGCTTGCGTACTGGCAATTTACTTGGTTGTTGTCAATCTCTTAAAAAAATGTGCCCTGCTCCCTACCCATTTCCCAGTGTTCTTTCGTTTTACCACTTACTTGGTTGTTAACTGTGCATACGCCACTATTGCCTCTTGGAATCCTTGTGTTTATCATAGTATCCTGCAGTGTACTTCGATTTACTGGCCTTACCTTCTACAACTTTGTTTAACTTTTGCAGGAAAACTGGTGCTGCAGGTGCTGCGCGTCGTCCTACAGTTACTCTTGAAGAAACCGATGTTCCGATAGCGTCCCTTCAGATCCCTGTTGGACATCCTTTGCCAACCGAATCGGCGAATCCTGTCTCTGGAAATCTTAATGCCCTCGGTGTCAATTTGCAGACAACAACAATTCAGCCTTTGTCACAGTATGTGTCGTCCTAACTATCTTTCTGCCAGTGTTGTCTGCTCCCTAAGATTCCAGTTTGCATGATTTTTGTGCCCTTTTAAAACTGATCAAAGATGGTTTCCAGCCTGCACAAAATACTTATTTTTGACGGGAAAGAACTGTAAACAATGCTTTTACATTTACCTTGGTCTTGTGCTTTTATACATGGTTCTATGTCGTTAACATAAAGTACAATAGCCGATGGATGGCCTTTTGTACCCCTTTCTTCGACCTTCGCTAACTTACACGTGTTTACAGTTTGCAGACGCACAATGTTACCTCTCAGTGCCATACTAATTATCTACGAATGTGTTACCTTTTTTTAAATACAGAACAAATAGTTGTAGCTTTTGCTTACTTGGTCAGCTTCAAATCAATTGTTTTCCCACAGATTGAAGTAATACTCGTCTTTACTTTATGGAGATCCCTTGTGCAGTTTGTTCTTTGTTGTTAGCCATTGTCTTATTCTTGATTTACAAGTTGCTGCCGCATTGCATAGGAATGTGCATGTTTTCCCATATAGATGTGTTGTTAAAGACCTACTTCCTCTGTTTCCTTTTCTAGGCAACCTATGTCTATAAATCCTGCACCTGTACGGCGCCGTCGCTTGGTTGTTTATTCTGATGAAGACGAACCTGTTGTCCCTTTGGAACTGCAAGACTTGGATGTTGAACTTCCACTGCAAGAACAGCCTGTTGGAAACTCTTCGACTTATCTTGTTCCCACTGTTGACGTTCCTTTGCCTTCTCCTCTTCTTGCTGTCCAAGAAGTTCCGCTACTTTCAGTGGGGAAAACTAATTCTGGGAGGGCAAAGCGAATCAGAACACCGTCTACAAAGGCCATTGAAGCATCTGTGGATGCTTCTAAGAGAAAGCCAAGAACTCCAAAATCGTCTGCTAAGGAACCTGCTAAGAAGCAACTGTTTGCTGATTAACCGTGATTCGCACCATGCGCGTGCTAATGTACCATGTTTGTCCAGTACTGTCCCTCCCTTCCTTTTGTAGAACTGTTTAAGGGGAACACTATTTAGCGAGTAGTGCATTCTGTACTCTTGCCTTTTTGTCTGAATGTTGCAACCTTTGGCACACCTGTGGTGTTCCATTACTGGCACCACTGTTATCAATCTGCTCTGCTATGACATTTGACTTGTATTGGTTACCTCTTGGTACAGATTACCCCTTGCGTACCTGCTTTCTAACCAGGTCTATGTCGTTAATATAAAACACCATTTGGGCATGGACTCCTTTAAGTGGCATAGTATTGCGCCACTCTGCAACTGATCTTTATTTTGTGCTAAGGATCTGTTGTACTTTGTCTTTCATTTGTTGCGCGAAAATTCGCCGTTTAGGCCGCATTCGCATCGCGCCTGTGTCCTCTTCGTTAGTCACTTGTTTTGCTCTGTATTCGCAGGTGGCCATTGCCTGTTGTAAATGGCCGCTTTGAGGACCAAATTGTGCACACATTTATTCGGTTGCAGGGTATTTAGGTGGTGTCCTACCAGCCACACAGTAACTAGATATTTTGATTGTCCACTAATACCATGCCTTTGTTTATTAGCTTCCATAGACCCACATTATAAACTTATTTCTCTTCTATTAATTGCCATCATGCATTTATTATTCTGACTAGGCTGTTCACTAATGATGGCTTTATTACTTCTCACTTCTCTAGACTAGCCTGCTATGGTGCATGTTGTATTATTATACATTTTCTTAAGAAGGATATTTTTCCCTGGAAACATCGTTTACCTGTAGACTGTCTTCTTCCATAACTGCTTCCCCATTACTGCTCCTTTTTGCTCATTTTGTCTTTGCTGTTGGTCATTGAATGCAATTCTCTGCTGCATCTGCTATACCATTACCTGGTATCTGCCTTCCTCTGCAATTCTGCCAGTTTTGTTATTCCACTGTACCCGTTTAGAAGGCGTGGCATGGTTAGTTTGGTCAATTTATTACTTTTATCTTGCTACGTTTACCATTGTTTCCTGTACCATGCTACGCTTGTGCCATAGTTTGCAGGTCTTTGTTTTTTTTGTAACGTCAGTGTGTGATCTCAGGCCACTCCCAGACAGGCTGCACTCCTGTTCCCCGGTCGTTCTGCGAATAGGAAGCGTCGTCATATTGGTCTTTCCACTGAATTTGTGCCTACCACGCCTCCTTCGAGAAGTTCTGTGAGGCGTCGTGCGTGCAACTTTGATAGACGGGGACGCTTGCACCCACTGCTTGATTCAGAAGGTGAACTTGACTCATCCGAACTGGACTTAAGAACTCCTGAAGACTTAACAGCCAGTTCGCAGACTCAGCCTCCTGTTGCGTTGGATGGTGATTGTTCGTTGCCTGATGTGACTCTACCACCTTCACAACAATCAGACTTCAGTCGAATTATCGATCATGGTTTCCCTGACTGTGAATGCCAATACTGTGGTGCACGGTTCTGGTATGAAGAGCGGCTTAACAGGCATGCATCTCTTGCTCCTGTTTTCACGCTTTGTTGTCAAAAGGGACGAGTACGCCTCCCATTCCTACAGGAAACTCCTCAGTACCTTGAAGACCTCTTGGGTGTTAATGCCGGTCCTATGGCAACGCACTTCAGGGAACATATACGCTCCTATAATGCTGCTTTTTCTTTCACATCTTTTGGAGCACGCCTTGATCCGAGAGTTACACGTTCACGAGGACCTTATTCATTTGTGATATGCGGAGAAAATTATCATCGAATGGGATCTTTGCTTCCTGCTGCAGGCCAGAGACCTAAATATTCTCAGCTATACGTCTTTGACCCGCAGACCGAACTAGCAGATCGACTCTCCAATTTCTCTTCTGCTGAAAGGTCCCTGCGTCCTGATATTGTTTCTGGTTTAATGAAGCTGTTTGACGTGACAAATGAATTAGTTAAGTCTTTTAGACGCATTCAATCTGAATTGAATGATCCAGCATCAATCAATTTAAGACTGCGTATTGTTGGTGCACGGGACACAACATCTCGACAATATGAACTTCCAACTGGTTCAGAATTGGCTGGACTCATTCCTGGTGATTTCTTGCCTGATAAGGAAGAACGAGACATCATTATTGATCATCGGTCAGAGGGCCTGAAGAGGATCACAAGTGTACACCCGAAATTTGATGCTTTGCATTTTCCAGTCCTTTTCCCATACGGAGAAGATGGATTCCATGTAACCATACCGTATGATCCTGTTCATACTCCCAAAACATTGAAAAGGAAACATGTGACTCAGAGAGAGTACTATGCTTACCGGCTTCAGCACAGAGACGACGAAGGTCAGACATTGATGCGAGGTGGGAAGGCACTTCAACATTACGTGGTTGATGCATATTCCACAATTGAACAAAACCGACTCTATTATTTGCGATCGCATCAAGAAAACCTCCGTTCTGAACTATACTATGGCCTTACAGATGCTTTCAACAGAGGTGATGTTACAGGAGATGCTGTTGGCCATGTTGTTCTGCCATCATCGCATACTGGAAGTCCTAGGTATATGAAGCAACTATACTTAGATGCAATGGCTGTTGTCCACCATCATGGCAGCCCCGACCTATTCATAACCTTTACGTGCAACTCCCAGTGGCCAGAAATAACAGAATCTTTCCGCACTGTCTGTGGTGCACGCAGCGAACTAAAACCAGAGATTGTTGCTAGGGTCTTTCGCATGAAACTGAATGCACTGGAAGATGAATTAACACGAGGCCATTTTTTTGGTCAAACAGTGGCAGGTTTGTTCGGTTGCCTTCTGTCTTACTTCCTTTTACAATTGCCTGTTATCAATTCTCCTTTTCCTGTTACTCTAAACTTCCTCACTTACCTCATGTTTTGTGCTCTAGCATAAATGACACATTTCGTTGCCTTATAGTTCCAGGTATCAAAACCGTCGAGTTTCAGAAACGGGGTTTGCCCCATGTTCATATACTTTTATGGTTGGATGCAAAGAATAAGCTACGACAAGTTTCTGATATTGATGCAACTGTTAGTGCTGAACTGCCAGATCCATTACTAGATCCAATTGGGTATGATGCTGTGACAAAGTTTATGCTGCATGGTCCGTGTGGTCAAGATAATCCGACCAATGTTTGCATGAAAGAAGGATCGTGTTCAAAGTATTTTCCAAAACCGTTTAATTCAGAAACTACAACGGACCAGTTTGGATATACAGTCTATCGCCGTCGCGATACAGGTATAACAGCAGTGAAAGGTACAGCTATACTAGACAACCGGTTTATCGTTCCATATAATCGGAATTTACTTGTGCTGTTTCAAGCTCATATCAATGTCGAGGTCTGTCATCAAGGCCGTTTGATTAAATATTTGTTTAAGTACATTACAAAAGGGCCTGATAGATCCATGGTTCTTGCTGAAACTGCTGGCTTGTCTGTGTCTGATTCTGCTACCCCAAACCATATCCCTCCATTGGACGAAATTAAACAGTTTCTTGATTGTAGAAGTCTGTCTTCATATGAGGCAGCGTGGCGGATCTTTGAATTCCCTGTTCATGAACGAACACCGCCGGTTCAGCGGCTGTGCGTTCATCTTGAAGGGAGACATTATGTTCCTTATAGGAAGAAACAACGGCTGTCTCGAATACTTGCCCGCGATTCTGTTTCAGAGACAACATTGACACAATGGTTTTACCTTAACCAACGAGATCCAACTGCAAGGGATCTACTTTATGCCGAGACTCCGAATCGTTATATATGGAATGTGAAAACAAAAAAATGGGCTCCGCGGAAAAGAGGGTTCTCAATTGGAAGAATTGTCTATATCCATCCAGGTTGTGGTGATACCTTTTATCTCAGACAACTTCTTACCAAAGTTCGTGGGTCAGTTAGTTATGCAGATCTTCGGACAGTCCATGGATTCCCATGTAGAACATATCAAGATGCGTGCCAGCGCCTTGGTCTTTTGTCTAACGATGATGAATGGTTACTTGTGATTAAAGAAGTCAGCCAATGGGGCATGTGCCGCTTGTTACGATACCTCTTTGTGTCCATGCTGATGTTCTGTGAACTATCAAACCCACTGCAGCTTTTCAATCAGACATGGGAATTGCTTTGCGAAGACATCACATATAGGTGCCAACGAGACGTTTGCTTCAACAACAACCTCATACCAACTGAATTGCCCAAAAATAAATTGTTGTGGGAATTGCAGCACATGTTACATGCTTATTCAGCCACGTTATCTCATTTTAACCTTCCCTTGCCAACAGATGATCACCCACAAACTGATCCCTTGCTTCAGTTTGGAACTGATTCACATCCTGGTACTTTAGCTGCTGTGGATTCCCCACCTCCTGTAGTTGGTGATCTTAACAGAAAGCAACTTGAAGCTTTTCATTGTGTAATGGAATCTGTTATGTCTCCAACAGAAGACTCGCCTACATTCTACTTTCTGTATGGTCATGGAGGAACAGGCAAGACTTTTCTCTACAAAACTATTCTTGCGCAACTTAAAGAAGCTGGAAAAATAGTTTTGGTAGTTGCTTCTTCAGGAATTGCAGCAACATTACTTCCTGATGCAAGTACAGCTCACTCTCGGTTTAAAATACCACTGGAAATCGATCATGGTTCTTCATGTAATATCAAGAAAGGTACGCCATTGGCTCAATTGATCATTAATGCATCGCTTATAATATGGGATGAAGCCCCAATGGTTCACAGATTGTCTTTTGAGGCAGTAAACAGAGCTTTTTGTGATATTATGGATGTTCCGTTTGGTGGTGCACACTATAAACCGTTTGGTGGCAAAGTTGTTCTTCTTGGAGGCGATTTTCGTCAAACGCTTCCAATAGTAGCTGATGCTGGCAGAGAAGAGAGTATTGATTCATCTCTGACCTGTTCCTTTTTGTGGCAACATTGCACTGTGTTGCACTTAACTGAAAATATGCGCGTGGTTGCTTCCCGGGAGAGTCAAAGGTCAACTTTTGGTGGCATGCCCTTTACCGAATGGACTCTTGCTGTGGGAAATGGGAATGTGCCAGGAAAATCATTTCCTTCTAACCAATCTACTGATTGGATAGAGATTCCGGAATCATTACTGCTTCCTTCTTCAGGAAATCCCATCCATACGATTACGTCTACAGTCTATCCTGACTTTGCTCAACGGTTCCATAATGTATCGTACCTCACTGAAAGATCCATTATCACACCGACCAATGCAAATGTCACAGAGATCAATTCTCATATGTTAGCTCTGATTCCGGGAATGCCACGCACATATTTTAGTGGTGACAGTCTTCATACAGATGCAAGCGATCCAGACCGACTCGAAGCTGAATATCCCACTGAATTCCTTAATTCCTTGTCCTTCAATGGCTGCCCTGAACATCAGATTGATCTCAAGGTATTTGCTCCAATTATGCTGTTGAGGAATCTAAACCCATCCATTGGTCTTTGTAATGGTACACGCTTAATGGTGCTCTATTTGGGCCATTATGTGATAAAAGGAATGATAATGGGGGGTACATTCAATGGTAAGACTGTGGCAATTCCAAGAATTGTCCTTAGTGTCAATGATTATCGTTGGCCATTTGTTCTTAAGCGCCGGCAGTTTCCAGTACGATTGTGCTACGCCATGACAATCAACAAAAGCCAGGGCCAGACATTGCAAAATGTTGGTGTGTATCTGCCGAAGCCAGTGTTCAGCCATGGCCAACTTTATGTCGCTGTTTCTAGAGTTAGAACACCAGATGGACTTAGGTTCCTTATTATGAATGAAGATGGCGTGCCTTCCAACTGTACCCGAAATATTGTTTACCAGGAAGCATTCGTTGACCTTCAGACCCCATCTTCCTAACTAGAGGTATTCCTTTCAATCTGGTACATTGAATCTTTTGTAGATTGCTTGCTCAGCATCCTCCTGGAACTGAAATGTATCTTCTAACGTTCATATTCGTTGCTGCCTTTATCTTTCACAGGTCTGGTGCGGATCTCTCGAACCAAAGAATCCCATGTTGCTGTTCGTTTTTGGGTTGTGGCCTCTATCTTATAAAGGCAAAACAAGTGTTTCGTTTCCAGGGATTCAAATTACCAGTTCGCAGAGGGTTTGTCGGATGGGTACTTTAGGCAATCCACGTTTAAATAAACCTGTTGCGTTTCACCTCCAACACATTCTGCCGGTGGACCGGGACAGTTTTAAATATAGTCGGGCCGGCCTGTTGCCCCCTGAAGTATCCAGCCCAAACTTTTTCCCCTTGACGTATCCGGCCCAAACTCTTCTCCCTTGACGTAGTTGGCCCAAGGACTGCTGGTTAAATGTTTCCATCGGAATCTGACGGAAACCATATTCAGCTGCCGCGATGCTATCTTTTAGCTGGAAAGATGCCCTTATTTCCTATGTGGCTCATGCAGTAATCGGGCCAGAGTTGTTTGCAAAACCCATGGCAAATGACTACACACAGCCGGGCTAATACATTTCAAATGCATCTAACTAAATTGGCCCTGTGGGGGGTCTTCCCTTTTGTTTGGGCGGCTACCTAAATGGTCTGCCAGCGCGTTCCAACTCTAAACTCTAGAATACACTAATTTACAAGGAATTTACTAAAGAGCAAGGAATGTGACAGTTAACAAAGAACACAATTATATGATCCTCAAAATATGGTCACATGAAGGATCACCGCAAAAGGATAATACCCTTTCAAAAAAATGTGCCCCACATATTCACTACGCGGTTAGATAATTCGAAACTAAAGTGAGGTCGACCATTACTAACATTAATCCGATTAGCCTAATACTACCCTACGCTACTTAGTCTAAAATCGGGAACAACTTAACCAAAAAGACATTAAGACGATTCTCCACGTTGTTCCAAGGTCCGAATGTCAGCAAAGCACTATATGGGCCCTCACCAATCCTGTTGAGTAGTGGAATGTACTCCATATCTTCCATCTCATCAGGACCAACAGCAGCAGACATGACTCGCCGTAAGTAAGTTGATGGACATACGAGCTCAATACCGGTGGTAAAATCTTCAATTGTCACGTGCAACATGTATATGCCGGAGTCGGCATTCCAAGATCTCCTCACTTCTTTGACCCACCCATTCAAAATGTATGACTTGCCCTGGTACAATACAAAACAAAAGGAATTCAAAACAAGACCCCATTAGATGCAAATTCTTTAGAGGAAATATAGCTTCCGGCTAGATAAAATATATGTTATCTGATTCACCTGATTAGCAACATCCAATTGCATAGGGATAAGTTCATCCGTTTCTATATGGTCCCAAATTCGTACGGCAACTTCATATCGCAAATTTGAAACGAAGTCTCCCATGGAAAAGAACCTATAATTTAAATTAGTAGCAATATTAGCAACTCTATCAACAAATGTTAGAGCTATACAACTAATCAACTAAATATGTAAACCCGAATGTGCACAAACAATAGCAACACAATACATGAATGTGTCACTACAAGCATACAAAGTTTCCTTGGAGTATCGAACTAAAAAAAAACAAACTATTCTGAATGATAACATTGTATTAGCTCTGGAAAAACCTAATTTGAAGGCCGGCAAACGAATGTAGTTGATGAGCGGTGTGGAAAAAGTGGCATAAATTCTTGATGAGAGGAAAGGGAAGTTTTTGCCGAGGTAGGGTTTTAGAGATTACCTTGTAGAGATGCTGAGGTAGGACTAACGTCGATCAGGCAGAGAGAAGGCCTGGCAAATGATTGCATGCACTGGAATGGGTTCACAGTTGCTTTGGTGGCCGGAGAGTGAGCAGAGCAGAAAAAGCGTCAGGGAAAAAGGGAGGTGAAACGTCCTAGGATGGGTTTTAATGCGGTCAGATTTGAACACTTACCTCCTGGAAATGTAGAGATGGTACTAATATCGGTCAGTCAGGCAGCCCTGGATCATGAGTGCATGCAGTAGCTTGGATGGCCTGATTTCCTTCTCGGCGGCGAATAAACAGTACCGTCGTGCTTCGGTGGCGTTGTTGAAGTCCACGCGAGTGGTGACTGGACGCTAGGTTGTTCGCCGAGGGAGAATAAGCGAACCGTATGGAATATGTCGGGGTTTGCGGCGGGAGCGGGAATCAGGAGAAGCAGAAGATGGCGGGTTGGCGATGTGGATGGTCAGGTTTCTGTGGAGGGCCTGGAGGGTAGGTGAGAGCGATGGAGGAGGGAAAGGAAGAAGGGAGTTAAACCGTCTTCGGGTGGGTGGGAGGTTTTTATTGTTTAGCTTTATTTTAGTTTTTATATTTGCTTGATCGAAACGTGGACATGACTGTCCATTTGGTTTGAATTTTTTGCCCTTCAACCAAACACAACTCAATTGGAAAACAAATTTTTCGTTTGGTTTTTTTTAAACCAATAAGCAACTTAATGCCTTTGCCTTGGTTAAAACTGAAAAAACAATAGAACCCATGAATAATACATTATTCATCCGCAAGGTTGTTCTTTTGAAAAAAAAAAAATCCCCTTTTGCCACGCATACCAACCAATAATTTTTGCTGCCTATACAGATATGTGCTTGTCAAGTCATAATAAATAAATGAACACCTAACTCTTCTTTTTTATTCAATGATACGAGTGATTAATTGCCTAACAAATTCGCTACTTCAAAATGGTATTCATTTATTTAAAAAAACAGCCAACCCTAGCGATGCATTGTTAATTGATTCATGTTTATGAGGAAATGACAACCTAATTTCAACTCCTCCTCACAACCAACAACCCGCTACTAAAAGGGATCGTCTTAAGCAACATAGTCTTGCGACTCATTTGGTAGTACATTAAATCAATGTGAAGGTCTTACAACATCATACTAATTTCATCTGTGTATTTCACTTGCATGAATACTCACCATTCAAGCACAAGTGCACATATTGATCGCTCGAGTTCCAAAAAACCTTTACTCTGAGAAAAACGTCATTGGGATGGATGTCTTGCACTATCCCGATTAAATCTTCCCGTGTGTTAAATGTACATTACCGAAATAGAATTCCCTGTTATTGTAGTTTAATTGATCAATAAAAAAACAAATGCTCAATGAAGTGGCAGAAATGTGCACACCCCATTCCACTCTCCCAAACTTTTATTGCCGCCAGTGTAATGGGAACAGTTCAGTTTAGGATATGTGGTTTTTTCCTGTACACTTTTCTAAGGTAGATAGCTACATATATGGACCCATTCTACATAACCAAGTGAAACAACTATTTCGCAAGGGCCTGTTAGACATGACAGCCCATTTATAGCCCACAACAAGAACTCATACGTCACTGTCGTTTCCCCTAATCAACCGTGGAGGAGATTTCGGCCCACATGGTTTTTTTGTGGTCCTTGGACACTGACAGTCGTTTTTACTCAGCCTGAACAACCACCTACTTCCTTTCGTGTATAAGGAACTCTGGATTTCTAATTCAATAAGTGCTATGCAAACTTCAGTTCGCCTGAACTTTATTTCCATCCTGCGCTGCATCGTCAACTCGACGCAAACGGTTTGTACTTATCTCTCTTTTACTTGCAGTTTGGTATACCATGCATAGTGTTCCGCTTTTATTGTCTGAACTCATTATCCTTGTGCTTGGGGGAAACATCGCCGCATGTGAAATTAGGGTTTGCCTTGAAATACCGGCATTCCTTGGCCTCTCAGTTCACCGCAGTTTATGCTCTCTGTCGCCTGGGCCAAAGTTTCACACAATTCAATGGACCTCAATTGTACCCTACGAAGTTCCCCAGAAGGTTGGACTCCTCACACTCTAATCATTTACATGTCGGCACTGTTATTTATACAGGGGGGAAACAATCGGCCAGTTCTTTTATTTTCCAGTGCATGGATACGGTCGTTGCTGTTGCTGTCAGTAGTTGAATGGCGTGTACTTCCTTTTTGAAATTTCAGACCTAATCAGTACGTCAACTACAGTTTAGGACCTCACAGGAAAAATGGTAGCTGGTCACATTGTACTGCGCTTGATTCATATCTGGCTATCTGATGAATCCATGGGAACGGAGAGCAACCAATTCATGTATACTTTATGGGTTGATGTGGAGGTAGGCATATTCGATTTTCAAGTTAATTCCATGTTACTTATTATGCCAAACTGATACTCATGATATGGTTCTATTCTTTCATAGGAATCTTTAATTGAGGGAGTCACCGACAGAATTGATATGGCTAATATCGAACCACTTCTCGAGGTGGGCCTGCTCTACGTACTGGATGAAGTACCACTAACCGTGGCAAGAAGTACTCAAAGAACTGCAACTGGTAATTTACGCCTTTGCCTTCGGACAGGACTATCATGCAGGAACCTCGATGAAAATGAAATAAAGAAGCGGTTCCCGGTTGATGGATTTAAGAACACAGAATTTGAAGAACTTTACGGGATGGCCTTGGACCCAACGAACTTGGCAGGTAAGGTTTGCCTGCGTGATCAATTTTTCCTCCAAATATTGTTCTAATACTAGGGTCCTTGAACGTTTCCAGATCTCACAGGTCGTGTTTTAGCGATATCAGAACCAGTATACAATAGTGATAGCACTACCTTCATGATGATCCAAATAGAAAACACCAGGTTAATGTTTATAGTCCTTCCTTTTACATTCGAACTTGTGAGAACTACACTAACACTCTCTGCATTCTATCAGGAAGCAAACTGTTGTGATCAATTACACTGCTCCCTACGATGATTTCTACTATTGGGCTGAAGCCGCTGAGCTCAAATATCCGGTGGTCGCGACCTTCACGAGCATTTTTGTTGCTCAGCCTGAACCGAGATGTGCGCCTCTTAATCTCTCTATTCGTTGTTATGCCTTTTACACAAATCTGTGCTGAAATACAATTTACCTGTGT